ATGTGTAGTAACACTGGTCATGTGTTCATATATGAACACAGGAAAGTCATGTCTGATTCATTCTACTGTCTTTCCAATTCCTAAACCCCTTCCCTTCTTTTCATTCCCTTTGTCTAATCCAATGAACTTCTATTCTTCCACCAACCCCACCACCCCCTGTGGGCTTGCCCTTATGGTGTGTTAGCATCCACATATAAGAGAGAACATTTGGCCTTTGGTTTTTGAGGATTGGCTTATTTCACTTAGCATGATAGTCTCCAGATCTATCCATTTACTGGCAAATACCATAATTTCATTCTTCTTTATGGCTGATACTCCATTGTGTATATGTACCACATTTTCTTTATCCATTCATCTGTTGAAGGGCACCTAGGTTGGTTCCATAGCTTAGCTATTATGAATTGAGCTGCTGTCAACATTGACGTGGTGGAGTCTCCCTGTTCTGGTGGTCTCGGTCTTGCCCCAGTATCACTCCCTTCTAAATCAGCCTCCTCATTACATAGTAAGTAACTTCTGTAATGCAAATCTGAGGTTAGCACTACTCAAAACCCTCTCGGATCCAGAAGAGAAAAACCCATCCAGACAGAAAGCAGATCAGTAGTTGTGGGAGTTGGGAGAGAGGATATTGCTAACAGGGAAGGTTTCTTTGGGTTGATGAAAATATTCTGTAACTGGGTAGGGGCGATGTTGCACAACATTGTGAATGTACTAAATGCTACCGGATTGTGCACTTTAATATAGTTAAAAATGTTATGCTAAGTGTATTTTTATCATACACACACACACACACACACACACAGCCTGTAGGGATCAGCTCTCCCCCCACCCTGATTGTCACAGAGGTGACCGTGGTCCCCCTGTGTCTGCGGGTTCAACTCCTTCTGTTTTCCCTCCACTCCTTCAAGAACACAGATGCTCACAGCCTGCTGCCTGTACATGCAGTATCCCGCCCTCTGTGTTTGCACTGGGTTCCTCATCTCTGCGGGGCATCCTTCCATCCCTACCCCACCCATCCAAGGACCTTCTCTTCCAAGACTCCCTGCCAGTGCCCCCTGACAAGTCTGCATCAGCAAGGACAATGTGAACTTCGAATCCTCCATCTTAAAAGGCACATCTGGGAAGCCTTTACACCAGGCCTGCACCTCTAGCTCCTGGGGGAATTAGCGATCGTTTTCTAAAAAATGAAACAGCTTGAAGGTTTATGTGTTTGCATAACCTTTTTTTTTTTTTTTGATTCATGACACATTTGTGACCCCCAGAAACATCTGGAACTCATGAGTTTAGCAGCACCCACATTGCATAGTTTCTGGTGACGAGAGGATTTCCATCCAGAAAGCCTTGAGATGAGTCTTGTCACAATTAAATTTCGCAATCGCGACCCTGCCACGTTTGTCACACACCTCCGAAAGCTGCCGAGTGCTTTGTGTCCTTGGTTTGGGAGTGGTGAGGCTTGGAAATAGACAACCGAGTGGGTTATTGTTCCTCACTCAGAAATTTATTTTTTCGAGGCTAATGTTGGTAAAATGCTGTTTGGGTCTCAGCTTGGGAACATGCGTGCTTGGGAATTGGGGGCGGTGAACAGCCTTTCTTCCTAAAAGAGCTCCCCTTTCTGACCTGATGAGGCCATTTCCCGTGTCACTGGGTCCTTGCAGATGGCAGATGGCAGTCAGAGCTAGTGCAGGCAAGCCACTGGGAAAACACGATGACCCCACCCTCCTTCGGCCAGCCTTCTCCACCCGATTATCACAGACGTCACAGACACGTCCAGGGAGGTGTGAATCGAGACAGGAGTGGACACCCAGGCAGAATGAATGAACTAAGGGGACCGCATGAGGAGGCTTGATAACGTTCAGCTTATCTCCTCCCTTGGTGTGATCAGCGAGTCCCCTCTCACCACAGAACAGGAACAGTTCTCTGGGGTTTCTCTTCAGCTAGTCTTAAGGCCAGCCGCATCAGCATTGCTTCAGAATTGTTGGAATGCAGTTCTCAGCCCCCTCTCTGAACTTTGGAATTGGAGAGCCTATGTATTTTTATATAGGTTTAAGTGTGAGTCTGTTATTTAAAATAACAGCTTTAAGTTAAGTTTACTGAAATGAATATATGGAACACTGAATATCAATGTGGATATTTTGATCCTGGATTTTTAGCATGAATTATTGTTGGAAGCCTAATACCAGTAACTAGTAGGTGCTTAATACCAAGGCCAGGCACTATACTAAGTGTTCCATGGACATTATTCCATTATATGCTTACACAACTCACAATGACACTGAGAATTAATATGTCTTTTCCCAATTGTACAAAGAAATGGAGGCTCCGACAGGTTAAGTTACTTGCCCAAGGTCACACAGCTTGCTGTACCCTCTTGTCGCGCTCCTGCACTCTTGACTCCTGAGCCCTGGCTATAAAGCACCGTGTTATCCCTCATTAGCCATAGCTCTGATTTTTGAGGCAGGATGACCTTTAGCTCTTGAGTACTTGGTTTATTGCTGTTCCAGACCATTGCTGCCAAACTCATTTCTAGTTGAAGCAGCTGTATTTTGTCACTTAAATGACTCATTAAGTGTCCTCAGCGAAGCTGAAACTACACAGAAATCCCTCATCAGTTCCTCCCCTGGCTGAAAGTTTGGATGAGAATCTGCAGAAAGAAAATTCTAGCCTGGGGTTGTGGGGAACTAAAGGTTTCAGTCTAGAGTTACCTGAGGGTCTCTTGTCACAAGTATGTTTACTTTTGGTCTGTGATGAAACATGGCACATGTTGGTTCTCCAGATGCAAACATGGACACAAATGGTGGATGGATCCATGATCCTTGCAGTAGGGCATCAATGACCATGGGGCTAGGGAGCATATGGCAGAAGTGTCCTTTTGTAGAAGCAGGGACCAGCCCATCCCACACCTGAAAATGGCATCTGCCTCCATTAGAGGGCTGTTGGGAAGTGGGCACTGAACGTCTGTGACTAAGCTGCAGGGTTCAGTTCGAACATGAAGAATCATTGTGCAGGTACTGGGATCCGACTTAAAGCAATGGTATTTGTATCAGATGTCAGGGTTGTAGCTAGTTATCTTACAAGTGCGTGACTCTGACAAACCATCTCGGAAGCCCCAAACAGCCACACCGCCTCCACGCTTCTGTAAATGGTGCTGCCTGCAATTGTGTATGGATAACTGTGAGCAGCAGGGTAAGATTTTTTTTCTTATAACGTTGATCCCAACTGACCTCTTAGCAAGATTGTGAGAAGATAAGTGTTGAGAGGTGGAGATATTTTCATATAATAAATATACTATTTTTTTCTGCCTCGGATCCCTTATATTGATGCATGTAAAAGAACCCAGACTCTTGGGAAGGGCCTTGTGAAGGTGGTCTTTACATGCTGATTATAATTTGACAACTAGAAGTTTCTGCAATGACCCCTTATTGCCTAGGTGTATTCCCTTGACCCACTAGGAACTCCTCTCCATTGCCCGCGTGTGACAGAGCACTCAGGCCATACTGATCTCTCCCAGAAGTGGCCTCCAAACACTCAGTGTCAGTCTTCATGGAGGCTTCCTGTTGCCCTCTGCTTGAGATATTTACCCACACTGGATGCCCAATTAGTGCAGAGACCAACAAGACTCTTTCTGTCTACATAGAGCCCAGTTCAAGGGGTGGCACCACTTGAACTCACCTGAACTAGAAATGCTAGCAGAATGCTTCATACAGCCTGATGAGGGCTTGGGCGACACAGGTGCACACACTGGTCCAACTGATGAGTCTATTGTAGAAAATAGACAACTATTTTCCTAAACAAGAATGTCCTACACTTAGGACAGCGCATTCATCATGCCTTGACTTTATGCAAAAGAAGAAAATGTATAAACACACTGAGCTCCAGTTAAGGATGTGATGCTGAAATCTTCGGAGAGTTACTTTGAAATGTGTCCAAAGATTAGGTGGATAAATGGGTGCATAGTGGGATGGATAGAGGCATCCACATGTGAAATAAAATGAATAGTAATGCTGGGTGTGCACACCTGTAATCTCAGTGGCTTGGGAGGCTGAGGCAGGAGGATCCCAAGTTCAAAGCCCCCCTCAGCAACTTAGTGAGGCTCTAAGTAACTCAGTGAGATCCTGTCTCAAAAAAAAAAAATGTAAAAATGCCTAGGGATATGGCTCAGTGGTTAAGTGCCCCTGGGTTCAATCCCTGGTATCAAACAAAAACAAACACATTAATAGTAATGAGGGAATCTAAGTAGTGGGTATATGAAATTTTATTTTCAAATTTGCTGTATATTTAAAAATTTCCTAGTATGATATTGTGGAAAAATAATGTTCTAACTGCTGCTAAAAAAGAAAAAAAAATGACTTTTTTTCAGGTGTCAAGGATTTCTTGTTACTTTTTAAAGAGAATCCAAATACACCCTTTATGATTGATAAGAAGCTAGAAAGAAAGGTGCCACTCAGTGTGAGGGCCAGTGGGGCTGGCTATCTGGAGGGTGGCATTGGGCAGGCATTGTACCCCGTTGCAGGCTGACCTGGCCTGGGGTGGAACTCCCCACCTCCAAGGCCCCACCAGGTGACATTTACAGCAAAGTACCTCCAAATGAGGGGACCTGGGGGCAGGCATATCACTCCCAAGAGGAAGAAGAGAGGTAATCCTCAAATCTTATACAGATGAAAGATGAACACAATTTCATACAAATCAAATAATTACACAATTTAAAAAATTTCCTACCTTTATGTTACCTATTATTATTAAAACTATCAGAAATAAGATGATCAGCATATCCAAAGGCTCAGATTGGTGGAATATGTTCTCACATTTGTATTTCTTTTTGGGGTGTTGGGGATTGAACCCAGGGTCTTGCCAGTACAAGGCAAGTGCTGTACCACTAAGCCACATCCCAGCCCTCTTCTGGATTTTATAGAGACTTTAAACACTCTGATCCAAATTAAAACTTTTCATTTACTTAGAATATCTGCTTCTTTAAATTTCAAGTTTTCTTGTCTTTCTTCTTGAAGGTAATTGTTCGAGGTGGAGGACACATTTTACCCTTGGATCAGCCTCTGAGATCTTTTGACATGATCAATCGATTCATCTTTGGAAAAGGGTGGAATCCTTATGATTGACAGACAACTATTTTCCTAAACGAGAATGTCAGGAGCTTTAATCTGTGAAAAGAAAATTCTTAAAAACTGAAAATGTCTTATAAATAATAAAATTATATTTTTATATCTGCAAAATGTTTCTCATCAATAAAAATTAATGGTCCTTGAAACAAGCAAGTTTCTGAATTGCGGGGAGATGGTTTATCACGAAGGAAGTGAGCAAGAGGAAGGATCACATGACTTAACTTAGAGGATGGAGGGAAAGGATTCTGACATTGATCCTGACAGCAGGGGATGATGAGCTTCCGGGATCACAAGTAGGAATTTCTACTCCCTTTAAGAGTAAGTGAAAAGTGCAATAAAGAAATCAAGTTGTAACGCCTTGTTTTTTAAGTAACAGAAGTTTTTCATATGATGCATCTGAAGGTGTTTGGTAAATATTATTGGATAAGAAGAGCTGATTATCACCCCATAAGAAAGGATGAAGTTATAACAATTGTGATGAGATTTTTGAATATCTAGTCTTTGAGGAAAGTCAGCTTTGATTTATTTGAAATAGAAACCTTATGTATAAAAAGAATGATGGAAAAGGAATGATAGACAAGTTCATGATATCATGATATGCAGGAAATCTTATACAGAGAGCATACTTAATCAGCTTAATTAGCCTTTCTTCTTCCCTCCCTCCCTTCCTTCCTTCTTTCTTGGTGGTTTGTTTGAGGAGATACTACACATTTACCAGGCAGCCTATAGGCCACATAAGATGATTCATTTTTAATTTGATTTATAAATTCTCTTAATTCTTTTATCAAAGAGCAACTTAAATTTTCTTTTCTTTCTCTCTCTCTCTCTCTTCCCCCCCCCCCCCCCCCAGGGATTGAATCCAGGAGCACTTAACCACTAACTCACATCCCTGGCCCTATTTTGTATTTTATTTAGAGAGAGGATCTTGTTGAGTTAGTTAAGCCCTCGCTAAATTGCTGGCCTTGAACTTGCAATCCTCCTGCCTCAGCCTCCCGAGCTTCTGGGATTACAGCATGCACCACCATACCCCGAAGAGCAACTGAATTTTATCAATGTTGGAATTGAAATTTGAGATAGCCTGGCTTTAAACTATGTAGATATATACATGCATTAGTAATTTCCCAACTACACTCACATCTCGGAACATTGCTCCTATTTATGCGCCGTGGGCACATCTCTTTGAAATTCTACAGCATGTTTAGTTTTACAACTTCACATCCCTCTTAGGTTGCCCACCTATGAATTAGCTCACTAGATAATTAAATTTAAAATATAGATGCTTGTTCTGGCTGCAAATATTGAGTTTGTTCTTTTAATTTTGCATCTTGTGCCTGATTTCTCTCAGGTTTGTGATCTCCCCCTCCCTGACCTTTTTCCTTTTTCTTTTCTTTCTTTCTATCTTTCTGTTTTCTAAAGAGGCATTGTTCATGATGCCCATGTGCTGGGTATCATCAAATCAAACCTTCTGGTCAAAGCAGATTGCAATTATTGGAGAGGACAAGCTGGAGCATGTCCTTTTTATGAGCAAGCTAAATGAGATGCATTGGTTCCATAAATACATAGTGGAAAGGGCCCAGACCTTGACTGGAGACCAGGGATTTTTGTCCCAGTGGGCCACACACCCCTGGGTGGTTGGGATAAGTCACTTCTCCATACTACTAGTATCAAAAACAGGTGGCCAGAGGAATAGATCTCAGAGGTTCCTTCTAGTTCAGGAAGCACTAGAGTCTTACTCTTCTCATCAGGCACTATGAGATGGCTGATCCTTATTATTCACAGATTCTGTATTTGCGAACATCGTGGCCTACTTGCTAAAAATTTATTTGTAACCCACAAATCAAACATGGCAAAAAATATTAGTTGTCCAACACACACGTTCCGAGCTGAGATTAAACAAAGATTAAACAAAGGTGATGCTCTGCTCCCCCGACCCAAAGCTTGGGTACTGGGAATTGAACCCCAGGGTGTTTTGTTTTGAGACAGGGTCTTGCTAAATTGCTGAGGGTCTAAGTGGCTGAGGCTAGCCTAGAACTTTCGATCCTTCTGTCTCGGCCTCCTGAGAGTTGCTGGGATTACAGGAAGGTGCCGCCATGTCCAGCCACTTCACCTTCTTTTTTCAGCTTTCCTAACTCTAAACAAGGGTCCTTTCTAGGTCTGTTTAATGCCACGCTTTTTGCTTATTTGTGTGTGCTTTTCTTTTTGTAATTTTTTTTTAAATTGTTGATAGACATTTATTTTATTTATTTATTTTTATGTCGTGCTGAGGATCGAACCCAGGGCCTCACACATACTAAGCAAACGCTCTACCACTGAGCCACACCCCAGGCCCGTGTGTGCTTTTCTTTACTGATTTTGTCATCTACAAAGGCCCAAGCATAGTGCTCAGGTGCTGTCTAGTGTCCCTAAACACAAGAAGACTGATGGGCCTGACACAAAATGCGAGTTGGATAAGATTTGTTCAGGCATGGGTTATGCTGTTGGCCCAGAGTTCAGTGTTAATGAATCAATAATATGTATCAAATCAGGTGATTAAAAAACACACATCAAGCACGATTAGGTATTGATTGACAGAAATGCTGTGACCAGAGGCTGGAAGGAACTTAATCCTCTATTTCCCCTAGGGGCAATGATTCAGAGTTTGCTAATTCAGTGTTTGCAGAGATGTCAGAGACTATCACTACCATGAACAAAGAGAATTAGTTGTATTTTCAAAGCTTTTAACACAGCAACTGGCACAAAACAATAGCTCAATAAATGGAAACAACTGAAATTTTCAGTTTTATCATCTCCCTGCCCCAGGTACTGAAATAGGGGGGAGTGTTGCTAGGCTATCTAGAAGCAGCCTTCCCCCATTACCTGAGGGTAGAGGTACCTGGAAACTGAATCTAGATGTTTTATTTTAAAAGAACAGAAGAAAAGCCCGGCATTGTAGTGCAGGCCTGTAATCCCAGTGGTTGCAGAGGCTGAGGAAGGAGGATCTTGAGTTCAAAGCCAGCCTCAGCAAAAGCAAGGTGCTAAGCAACTCAGTGAGACCCTGTCTCTAAATAAAATACAAAATAGGGCTGGGGATGTGGCTCAGTGGTCGAGTGTCCCTGAGTTGGTCCCGGTACCCCAAAAAACAAAACAGAGGGAAGGAGAGTTCCAAGACTGAAGAAAAACAAAGTTTTTTAATTGAACTGGAGAAAGTCCTTTGTGTAAGGAACCTCCCATGGATTACATATTCTCCATGGTCTGTCCAAGACAATCCACTTGTGTCCAAGGAGAAAATTCTAATATGTCTGTCAATATTTATTTCATTTCAAAATGAGAGCACAGTTAAGCTTTACTAATATTTAGTATTGGATTGTTACCATGCTCTCCCCTGGTCTAGATGCGAGACAGTCCAGTGTTCCATGTAACTAACATAAATGTAAATAGATTATATGGGTAAAGGAGGGATGTTGTATGGAAGAGGGGTCCAACTGAAGCATCTCTTGTTGTCTAGGTCCAGCATGTTGTCAAGAATTTTGATTTATATTCACATAGGTTCCTTTTTTTTTTTTTTCTGGGTTAAAGTGATTGAACTCAGGGGCACTCAACCACTGAGCCACATTCCTAGCCCTATTTTGTATTTTAGAGACAAGGTCTCCCTGAGTTGCTTAGCACCTTGCTTTTGCTGAGTCTGGCTTTGAACTCAAGATCCTCCTGCCCCTCAGCCTCCAGAGTTGCTGGGATTACAGGTACACACCACTGTGCCCAGCTCACATATGTTTTTATTACTATGGTTAACTCATTAAAACCAACCCTTCTACTAGCAGGGCCTTTGGAACACTGTGCACTTTGGTGGGGAATGGGCACGTGGGCCTTTTGTACCACCCTGGTTGTCACATGTTGGTGCACCACAGGGTGCTGTGGGTCTGAGGAGAGATATGCCTTCCTTCTTGGACAAATACAAGCCTTACAGACTTGCTGTGATCTCCTATCATGGCCAGGGAGTACTGTGAGTGTGTCACCTAACAGATATATTTAAAATAGTAAACACATAATCTTCCCTTTCAAGGCAGAAGTGGTACTTTCACAATTAGTGAGAAAGGTAAAGGTTAAAAAAAATTGAAACTATGGCAAGAGCATTTTGAGAGCAGATGTTTGTAAGTGTTCCCATCTTTCTGGATGCACATTGCAAAAACAAAAACAACCCTTAAAAGCCAACAAAAGTCTTTGCATAAGAGACAAATGAAGCTAAGAAATGATTTGGGGGAGTGGGTTCAACGCAGACCATCTACCCAGGCATTTCTTCCACTTGACCCTACACAGCTCGGCCAAGTATCTTCTTCATCTCTCATGGACTCTGAAACCAAGCTTTAATGTAAACTGAACACATAATGGATGTTTAATTGCTATATTACCAAAGAATAACCCAAGATTTTCCAAAATTAGCAAAGCATATTCAACACATTGGTTCTATTAGGCCATGAATAGTAATATTTTAGAAAGCAAAAATATTTTGCATCATTAAAAAATCTAATGAAATTTTTAAAAGCTTGGTATTTTAAGTTTCATCTGCATCCTTTTATAGTTTCCACTGTAAAATTTTATAATGTATATGTTATTTGTATAATAGTGGCCTGCTCATGCTTTATACATAATTACCCATATTTTATCCAATGTCTTCAGCGTTTTTTTGGTTTTGTTGTTGTTGTTGTTTGTTTGCATTGCTGGACAAGCACGCTGCCACTGAATTACAGCCCCAGGGCCTCTCTCTCTCTCTCCCTCTCTCTCTCTCTCTCTCTCTCTCTCTCTCTCTCTCTCTCTCTTTTGAGGGATTGGGGGATTGAACCCAGGGGCACTTTACCACTGAGCTACATTCCCAGCCCATTTTTAAATTTTGACAAAACGTCTCTAAGTTGCTGAGGCTGGCCTCACATATGATCCTCCTTCCTCAGCCTGCCTCAAGCAGCTGGGATTTCAGGCTTGCACCACAGCACCAAGCTAGCAATCTCTTAATGATAGGTTTGACA